TCTCAGTTATTATATTTAATTCTTTTCTTAATAGATTTACTTCTAAAATTTTAAAAGGTTATAATTTTACATCATATCTTAAATGACATTTATATGACACTTTACATTAGTTTAAAGTTACTATTCTGAAGATTAGCTTCCAATAACTAAATCCTGAAAGTAAGTTCTGATATTTCTAAATAAGAAAAACTAAATTATAGGTCAATTCTATAATGCAGTTCATATCTCATTAGATCAATCTCTACTCATATATACTAAAATGTATAAAATTAATATCTAGTCGCTGTTTTGAAGATGTCATTTTACAGCTAGTTTTTGAAAACTTAATTAGAATTAATAAATAGTTTTATGAATAAATTACTTAAATATCATTCTTTTTATCTGTTTGTCTTCATCTTTTATTAAAATACTTTAAATCCTTAAAATATGTATCATCCTCAAATATAATTCCAATAGCATGATACTTCAATAATAATTTTGTATAATTTAATGATGTTTACATTAAAAATGATTCATTCATATTATTTATAGTTTAGCTTAGGACAAATTCAATAGTTCTAAGTTACTCATTTTTTAAGTATAAGCTATCAAATATAAAAATGGAATTACATCAAGGTTTATCGAAAAAATTTAATTAATTAGTTACAAATGAAATTCAATTCATTACCCTTAAAATATTTTCAATAACCATATAATTGTCTCACAAGTATATACATTATTTAAAGATGTTCAAAAATAAGTCATCAAGAACAATTTTATGATGCTCTTGACCTTTAAATATTTCTAATTTATAATGAAATCATCAAGTTCTCAAAGTCAAAATTATTTCTAAGTAATCATAATTTGGATATATGAACATAACTAAATTTCTAAGAGAATTTCTACTTAATTAATTTCCCAACCTATTATCTACTCCAAATGATATCTCTGCTTAAACTAATAACATATTACTTATATTATTTTTATAAATTTATTATAAACATTTTTTGAAGTATTTTATACAATCAAAAGATAGCAAATAATTTAATTAAATTCATTATATTTATATATTATCAATAATAAATCTCCATCTCATCGCCATTTTTATTTAAAAAATTATTAATTAATTCTTAACGTTCTTCATTTAAAACTTTGATTTTATCACAAAAAAAATCTTGGTAGAAATCATGTTAAACTATAGTAAAACAGTCTAATTCTACTTAGAATTATTAGAATCTATCAACAATTACATTAGAATACAACCTATAAGGACTGAAAATTCATAAGGAACAACATTAACATTTTTTCCAAGTATGTTTAAATATATTAAGAATCTTTTTTAATTGATTCTAATTTCATTCTAAAAATTATCAACTAATTCTATTAAGAAGTGGAATAAGGATTGCTTTTGTTTTTAAACCAAATTATTTTAGATCTTATTAACTTCATCAAAAGGAACAAAATTAGATAACTTTAGTGTTAATTTAATTGAAAACCTATACAAATATTAGTATCTTTCAAATGGAGTAATGAAAATTATTTCGTTAATCAAACCACCTTATCATAAAGTGGCTTGATAAAAGAGTTCAAAATTCAGTCATTTGCCATATTGGAAGGAAGCAGTTTTAAGTTACAATTTAATTGCATAAAAAAATGCTTTCGACTTAAAGCTACCCTAAGCAGAAATTTATACTCCTAAATATTTAAAGCGAGATGTGCTTTTGTACTTCCATATTATATTTTTTTTTTACATTTTCAAGATTAGTTCATATTTGGATTTGGAAATATTAACATTAAAGTTATATTTCTAAGCGAGTTCTATAAACTCCTCAATTATCCAGCCTACTTATGGACCAAATATGGAAACAGTATTCTAGATAGTTAGAATAGGTTCTTAGCGAAGTCAATTTTTTTATTAACAAAACACTAATTAATTTAATCAATTAAGTAATTTTTCAATAATTAGCAAAACAAATTATTGCTCTAAAAACAATGAATTTTAGGAGATATTGAATAGTAAATATTATACAACTCTATAAAAATGCATAAAACTGCTAGACTAAGTTTCATTAACATTCTTTAATTGATTTATATTTAATAACAGTAGAAGTATGACTATTAATCATCCTAAATTTAGATTACAATTAATTAATACGTATTTCTAAATCTGTGAAATCTACTTTATTAATCAAGAGATAAACAATAAATACTCACCATTAATTTTGTACTTATTTAAAATTTTTAATGATTTTTGGTAATATATTAATAAATATTGAAATTTCATTTCTTATACAGAATAAATTGTATTCTTATATTTCAACATTTATTAAATTGTAGATTCATCTTAACTACTACAATAAACCAAATCATTAAAATGTTGATATTAATCAATATCAAATATCAGCTACTTAATTCAAATACTATTTATTAAAATTATTTTATTATAAAGATTCTTCAACAAAGTTGTTCCCATTATTATCTAATTATAAATTAATTAGCCTATTATTCAAACTAATATTATTAGAAAGAATTCAAAATTTATCATAAGACAAAATCCTCAAATATTTCATGGAATCATGAATATTATATTATCATCATTTAATCTAGTCTAATAAAAATCCATCTTATTAACTAAAACCAAAAGATTATTTAAACATTTACTAATAATGAAAATTATTTCGAATGATATAGGAATATAATTTAGATTAAAAAAGTAAGTGTCTTTTATTTTAGCAAGAATAATTAACAACTTTAAATGATAAATCATATGATCATTAGAGAATTAGGAGACTTAAGTTAACTTAAGAT